TTGCTCTTGCCTGGGCCCAACTGCTGCTCTTCGGACCCCGAGGCTCTGCCCCTATCCAGGCCAGAAGATGGAGTCGGGCCAAGGTAAGAGCCGCCCGGAGAACCCAAGCAGCTGTGGGGAGCCCCGAACTCTTCACCTATCCTGGGTGGGGGGCCATGGAAGATGGGGACATGGGCCAGGGGTGGCTTTCGGGCCCCCCACTCAGGGCAGGTGGAGGATCTGGGGCTCCCCACAGCTGCCTGGGCGGCTGTTACCCTGGCCAGGCTCCTGCTTCTGGCCTGGGGGCAGGGCCTCAGAGGGAAGAGGAGGGGCAGAGCCATGGAGGGGGCAGGGCCTCATGGCCCCCCACTTTTACGAAGGATCCGGCGCCCCTGCCCCAGATGCCGCCATCACCTAGCAGCTTGTTGGTACCAGCAGGGAGTGTGGGCTGATGGATCCTAGTTCAAAATGGAGGCACTGCCCATAAAGCTCCTGATTGGAGGAGACATCCGGCCTCTCCAATTGGCTCAGACTTGCTATTTAAGCCAGAAGGAGGCAAAGTTGTCTGAGGACCTAGATTAATTCCTGCCTAGCTGCTACATTGGACCTTGTCTGACTCCTGCCCTACTCCTGGTTCCTGCCTTGTACCAGATCCCTGGTTCTACACCCTCACCCCTGTCTGCTGACTCTGTCTCCGACCCTTGGCTTGACTTCTGACTCTTTCTCCGACCCCTGCTTCTGGATCCAGGAGCCTGTCTCCTGCTCTGACCACTAGGTCTGACCACCAGATCAGACTCCCTATGTGCTAGTCCATGACAGTAACTTTATTGGATAATAAAATTCAGTTCAGTGTTATTCACCTGGAGCTTTTATGATAGCCAAAACACATGCACAAAATATTAAGTAAAGCCTCCCAAGCACCAGTATGCCTAAGAAAAGTAATGTGTTCTAACTTGTGTCACTATGTGATGGCGCCATGTACGCTGATGATTTGCTCTGATTTTAACCATTGGTGGTACCGACCTAGGTACATGCATTGATGTGAACTCCTAGAATAGGCAGGCAATGCCCTTTTAAAGACACGTTTTGCAACAGTGCGTCTTACCCCAGTTTCAAGCAGAGGTAAAGTTGCATTGGGGCAGATCGCAGCTTATAGCAGGTGTGATGTCCCAGTCCTCAAACCCCGGCCTGGGAGTTCCCAGAGAGCCACCGCATCCTGGCCACCACCTGATGTCAGCTGAAACCTGGTGGGCCAAGGAGCTAGCAGAACTACAGCCTCAGCCAAGGCACTACCCACAGGAGTCCTGACTGGAGGATCGCCTGGCTTCACCAATTGGTCCAACCATGCTATTTAAGACAGAGGGAGGCACAGGAAATTATCTGAGCAACTTGGTGATTGCCTGTTGCTGTTGTGTTGGACCCTACCGGTGCCTGCATTCAATCCCGTTCCTGATTCCTATTCTGCTCCTTACCCCTGCCCTTGCGCCTATTTCCCACTGTGTTCCTGCTCCATGCCTGATCCTTTCTTCTTCTCCGGTTCCTGCCTTTATGCCTCACTTCTGACAATCATTTACCAGTCCTGGCTCTGACTTGTGACTCTGGCTTGACTCTTTGTATCTGATCCCATTTCTGACCCTCAGCTTTGATTCCTGGTTCTGACTCTGGCTTAGGTAATCAGCAGTTGACTCTGGTGTTAATCCTCAACTCTGTTCCCCGGATGCCTGCTGCACTCATGAGACCTGACTCCTGCTCTGACCACTAGGTCAGACCACCTATATCCTGGTCACTAACAGCAGGTTTGCTAGTGTGTGTTAGGATTTCACATGGAGGTGGCTACTCCAGTAGCTGAAATCAACAGCATAGACATGGCTCTTACTCTGATCCTTGATCCCCATACATAAATATTCTCAGAGAGAAATTGTTGCACTGACATGAAATAAACAAATACTTAAATGTAAGACGTTGCAGGTGAGTGACTTTAGACTTCTGATGACAACATTTTGGATCAGGAGTGTTCAACGAGAAGCTTTTGATTTTTACTTTCCACCCAATAGGAGAAAGTGCCGTTCTCTCCAGGGCAGTGGTAAGCATGTTCAAGCATGAGTGACGGAGCTTTTCTCTAGTTTAGTGCAGTCCCTATGAGTCATCCATAAAGCTGAAACCACAGCCATTGTCCTCTAATTAAAGAGCTACACCAAGAATGCGTAATAATTAGGTTACTGTGTGATACACCATCCGTGTCAACAGCATCTGCCACAAAGGTTGATTGAAACATACTCAGCCTCCAAACATTGTGTTCCCTAGTAGACCTCCCAAACTAATTCATTACTGACCTCACCATGCAATAACATGACTCCACAGAAATCTGCAGAAAATTAGGGCAAAGTCCACATATAAATCTGTACTGTCTTAGCAGGACTTGTAACTTCAGTGGGAAAAAAACGCACATGTACACTCAAGGCACACAAAGATGAGAGATCCCTGACCTAATAAAGATGAATTACAAATGAAAGCCTGTTGTGGAAACTCTCCTTTTTCAAGCTCTCTGTTGCTTTTAACTTGATCAGGCAAAATCCGTTTGAACTAGGAGAGTGTTTACCAAATTAACAACAAAGTATTTTTGTTTGTGTCATAGAAATATTTATTTAGTGATTAAGAAAATAATTTTCACATGAATAGCACTTAAGGCTCTTCTATGTCATGTTTGTTCCTATTATTTCACACTGGGCTTGGAGCAGAAGTTAATTATTTGGGGCTGAAGGTCTGTGTGTGGGAAGTTGTGACATGGAAAACGACAGAATTGTATTTAATATTGTGGAGAGCTAGGTTGAGGTATAGGTCACAGCAGATTCCTAAGGAGCAATGTGGAGCAACAAATCACAGAAGAAGCTGTGTCAGGTGCTCGTTTGTCAGTTTTGAACGAATAAACTAAGGAGTTATCAGGAGTTATACATTCCCAACAAGTGGAGAGCAGGTCCCATACAGTGGGACTGCTTACCTGATGAGAAGAGCTTCCTTCCAAGGCTGGTTTAAAATTAATGATATGAAAAATAAGTGATTATCTTATTTCATTTAATTTTGTTTTGGTAACATTTACTGTTTTCCAAGTGGTAGAATGGTGTGACCAGGAGGAATTTTACTCTTATGTATACAGTGCTCTGATTGTACAAAGCACTGTATAGAAATAAAATAGACATGGTCCCTGCCCCTAGGAGTTTACAATCTAAGGGTTGATATGATGCAATGAATGAAAGCAACAAATAAAGTTGGGGAACTAGGAGGATGAAGGTTATGACAGTGCCACAGGAGGCACAGTTCTACTGTAGTTGAACTCAGTGGAGGTTTTGCCACTGGTTTCATTGGTGGCAGGATCAGGGCATGGGATATGTACGTTTATGTGGACTTCTTGATAACTCTCTGTGTGTAATTTTCACTGATATAAATTTGTTTTGTAAAAGCTGGAGGCGTCGTGACCTGTGGCTAGGGAACTTGAGCCTTTCCTCTGTAAAGCACTTTGAGATCTGCAGATGAAAGTGTTATACAAAAGTTAAGCGTTACTGTTAGTGGTAGTACTGATATTTGAAGTTATCAGGAAAAAAAAAACATCTTAGGGTTGGTCAAACTGGAGTATGCAGTGTCTGAGGCATATTGTTATTTCTAACACACAGCATAACAAGTCTGGTTTACACATGTGTTTTTATAGTTAGACCAGTACAGACCGTAGTGTGGATGCAGTTATTTCTATATGGGAATAACTCTACCCGGAAGCACACTTAGGCTACATCTACACTACAGGGGGGAGTCGATTTAAGATACGCAAATTCAGCTACGTGAATAGCGTAGCTGAATTCGACGTATCGCAGCCGACTTACCCCGCTGTGAGGACGGCGGCAAAATCGACCTCTGCGGCTTCCTGTCGACGGCGCTTACTCCCACCTCCGCTGGTGGAGTAAGAGTGTCGATTTGGGGATCGATTGTCGCGTCCCAACGGGACGCAATAAATCGATCCCCGAGAGGTCGATTTCTACCCGCCGATTCAGGCGGGTAGTGTAGACCTAGCCTTACACTGATATAACTGTGTCTGCACTAGGGGATAGTTAAAGTAGTACAACTGTTGTGTGTAGATGAGACCTAAAAGAAACACTTAGTCTGTTCACCAGATCCCCACTACAGTTGGTGGGCATTTCAAGAATAGAACTAAGGATATATCGTTAACTCTGAAGTGAACTTGGCTTTTACCATGTTTTAGCCCCCCTTTCCCTTCTTTCTCCCCATTTTCACACACACACAAACCTTTTACTCAGGTTTGGAGGTGCCTTGACCTGGCTGGAGGTGTGAGTTAAAACCCAGGCTGCACTTTAACTCTGGCTAGAACCCACCCACTTTGTAGTGAGGATGCAGGCTAAATCAGTCACGTGCAGAAAGTCCTCCAGTGTCCTCCCCACAATTCCCCCAAAGGACAAACAAGTTCTCCCACACAATTGACTGGGAAAGAATCTTAGAGCATCTCAGCAAAGAACCATGGGATATACCCCCAGACACACCTGAGTAAACGTAGAAACAGTGAGGACATTTTGTTGATTGAATGATGTGAATATGCCCTGCAGAGAAAGGAGTCTGACTTTATGGTTAGAGCAGGGGAGCTGGAAGTCAGAACTCCTGGGTTGTGTTCACTGACTTGTTATTTGACCTTAGATAAGTCACATTAACAAGTAAAATGAGGAGCAATACTGACCTCCCATGTGAGCCTGGAAGTTTTTAAGCTGTCCTCATCTGAAATGTGCTAAGTGTAGGGTGTTAATGTTCAAAGGGAGCTGCACACATCACCGGAGGACAGAATTCAACCATATACCAGAGTAAAATTCCAGGGTAGAAACCTATGATCAATATATTTGAGAAGTAAATGACATAAATGGCTGCATGAGTAGGGCAGGTCCCAAATTCACTCCCAATAGCCAGAAATCAGGGGAAGAGGATGATTAAAATCACTAAAGACCACACACATTTTTTCTTTCGAACAGGACACCACAACGTCTGTGCGGATAGGTCTTATGATGGAAGAAATGATCTTCAACCTTGCAGATACACATCTGTTCTTTAATGACCTGGAGGTATGTAACTGCATATTTTATTTAACATCTTCCTATTTAATCATCTGCATCTGGTTTAGAAACCCTTCATTTTCTGCTCCTGAAACTTTCATTACTGACCCAAAGAAGTGGGCCTAAGATGGCTTATGGCAGGCCTGCACAACATGCGGCCCGGGGGCCACATGCGGCCCGCGTGGGCTCATTGTGCGGCCCGCGGGGGTTGAGTAGATGGGCTCACTGTGCGGCCCGCGGGCGGAGGGGGGGGGTGAGTAGACAAGCGGCGGGTGAGGGAGGGGGGCTGAGTAGGTAAGCGAGTGGGCAGTGGCAGGTAATGAGTAGGCGATCCGGGAGGGTGGAGGGCTGAGTGGGCGAGCAGTGGCGGGGGGGGGTGAGTAGGCGAGCCGGGGCAAGGGAGCTGAGGAGGCGAGTGGTGAGTCGGTTGCTGACCTGTTCTACTGATCTGGTCTTGCTTCCATCCCCTCTCCCAGGGCTGGCTCCAGGCACCAGCAAAACAAACAGGTGCTTGGGGCGGCACATTTCTAGGGGCGGCATTCTGGCGCCGGCCATCATAGATGCCGACTCCGGGGCATGGGAAAAAAGTGCCCTCGCTGCCCCAGCTGTTTTGTGCAGCAAGGCTGGGAGGGAGGAGAAGCCAAGCGGCGGGGCGCTCGGGGGAGGTGGCAGAGGTGAGCTGGAGTGGGGAGTGGTTCCTCTACCCCCCCGTTACTTCCTGCACCCCCCCACCCTAGCTCACCTCTGCTCCGCCTGCTCCCCTGAACGCGCTGCTGCTCCGCTTCTCCGCTCTCCCTCGCCTGAGAGGGACGGGGGAGAAGCAGAGAGGCGGCATGCCCGGGGGAGCAGACGGAGTGGAGGTGAGTTAGGGCGGGACGTCACGGGGGGGCCCGTAGGAAGCAATGGGGGCGAGAAAGGCGGCACGCCAGGGGAGGAGGCGGTGCTGGGGATTTGGGGAAGGGGTTCGGAAGCGTTGGAGTTGGGGTGGGACCGGGGGCACGAAAAAGAAA